CACAAGTTTTTATGTTAAGATGTGGCACTTGCAAGTTAGTTAGCAAAAGTTAGAAATTTCTAAAGTTCTATATCTAGATTATCAAAAATTAGTCAAAAATAAGTTATAACTAACTTAGGGAACTTAACTTTTTGAGATATCCAAGTTCAAGTTTTTTCATTTATACAAAAACTGATTAAATCGTGTCTTATCTTTTTGCACTTTGTTTCTTAAACTTGAAATCGAGTTCATGCTCCGATCGCATGTTCATCACGCAGCTCACTGAGCCGCACGCCGTCTTGTCATGGTCATGGCTGATTCATGATGGATGTTGCTCCTGTATAAATAAAACAAGCGGCTCATTGAGCCGCAGGTTGTGTCTCATGCAAAAATATGTATATATATATATATATACCGCGTGCCATCTTGATCATGGCTAATGATGGGTGTCGCTCTTGTTTCAAAAATAGACCTGCGGCTCATTGAGCAGCAGGTCGGGTCTCACGCACTAAGCCAAGAATATTTATACTTTTTTTGCACAAGCTCCATGTTCAGCAGTACCGGCAGCTGAGGACGCGTGAGCAGCACACACTTGGAGCCAGCAAACGCCAGCAAACAAAAAACATTGTTGCAAAACTTAATCCTTACTCCTGGATTTTTTTACAAAAATCAGGGAGTCAGGAAATGTCTAAACTCATGAGGTGGTGGGGTTGGCAACTCTGAGAAATGAATCCTATTTGATAAAATCTTATCGCATGACAAGCAAAATGTTTAAACTTCAGAAATTGAATTTATACATTTTTATACATGTTTATACATGTATAAATCGATTCCGTTATCAATTTATACATGTATAATTGAAAATGATGTGATTTATACATGTATAAATTGATAATTTGTTGATTTATACATTTATAAATTTTTGTCCGCATTGATTTATACATTTTTATACATGTTTATACATTTTTATACATTTGTGATTTCGTGACATGTGAAAACAATCGGCTAGTCAGATTTTATGTGTTTGAAAGTTGTTGGTCAGCAACCGGAATATTTAGATATACCAGGTGGAGCTATGGTAGTTCTGTTTTGAATGGCTCAATGGCAAATGAATCAAAGTTCATGTTTGATGCATTGCTTTTCAAGGACAAGTACTTTTGGTACAGGGCCCTTTGCATAAGGTCTAGAGTATAGGGTATTTTCCACTGGGGCCGCCAGCCAACACATCTGGGCGGCCCAATGGGCCGCCAGCCAACCTAGATCTAACCCCCAATTGACCACCAGCCAACCTATATGTAACCCCTGTATATTTTTCAATTGGTTGAGCTGAATCAAGTTGAAAAAACAATCATTGAACATCAGTTGCCATTGAAGCTCAAAGAACAAGAATAGTTTTGGTAGACATGACCAGCCTGTGCGAAGAACTTTTTTTCGCTCCCTGAGCCGCCCCGCCAAGTGACTATTGTCTTCCAATGCTTGGCGGCTCAATGAGCCGCCTGCAGGACCGCTCACATAATAGAAAGTTTGCAAAATGAAAACGATTTTTATCAGGTTGATTGAGACTATACTTTTGGGCGTCCAGGAACTTACAGAACTTATAAGTTAGTTACAAGTAATTTATACAACTTACGGTTATAAATAATAAACTAATAAAACCTAAGTTCCCTAAGTACTACTTACAACTTGCTTAAGTCCTATAAGTTTCTTAAATAAGTTGCAAGTGCCACAAGTAAGAAGGAACCACCAAGTACTTGGATTGGCAAAGCAGGGCTTGCTACCAGCACGCCAGCACGGCTCATCAAGCATTTCAAGGGCCAGAATTCCCTCAAAATGAACGATTGCGATTGAATGAGAGATTGCCCTCATGTTTTGTTTCTCATTTGTTGCCACTGATGAACTGGCGCAAGTTTGCAACTACAGAGTGAGTCGGTCCATTGCCGCTACACTAGGGGCTTTTAGACCCACGCCGCGCACACCTGTGATGTCACTCGCTCTCGCATGGCCTCCTTGACATGCCGTCTCACGGGCGTCGTTTGGCACATGCATTTCATTTGACCGTTGGTGGCCAGGAATAATTAGCCGCAGTGGTACGAGTACGTCTTGCAGGACTATAGGAAGGCTCAGGGCACTGCAAACCGTAGGTCAATGTAGTGGAATTCTTCTGGAGGTGGGATCAGGCGCCGTGCCTGTTGCCCAAAAGTTGGTCAAGAGCAAACCTGCGCAAAGTCCAGAAGTCCCAGTTCTGGCTCAACGAGCCAGGCTTGTTCGGCGAATATGATTCGGAGGACAACAATCGCCAGCATTTTGCAGCAATGTTTGTCAGAAGAAACTTGGCGTTGAACCCAAAGCTATTATTTCTTTGTTCTGCGCCCCAGAAGAAGCTTGCCTCCAGTTGTTCTTGGGGCCAATGCCCCGTGCCTCCAGAGTCATGCGCCCGGGGCTCTGCTTTGCTCCACGCCTTGGACATTCTATATCCTCGAGATGTTGCGGGCTGTATACCCATGTTTGCAAGAAGTATTCGTTAAACTCTCCCTACAATACTTTCTTGTCGGAGGCAACGTTCCCCCAAAGTTGGAAGCGCAACCTTGGCAAGCCAGGGCCGAGGTTTCAATGCAAGGCTACACAAGGATGCCCATTGACTTGTGAACGCGTTCTTTTTGCGCGGGTGGCTTTGCGATGAACGCGGCGTGTGGTTGATGGAAACAATCCAACTTTCTGCAACTTAGTCATAGTCAACCTATACTTGCGGTCTACGTATCTTCAACTGAAAAGTTTATGTAGGTATATCGGGCGGCGCATAGGTTTTTCAAGGCGCTTGTAATTAAGCAGGAAAAGTAGAAACGGCTTTCAAAGTTTTTCGATTTTGGCAACTGCATATAGCTTAATTTTGAAAACCTGCGCGTGCACATGTTATTGTGTGTATGAATACACACTTATCAAATAAATACGCAGTTAGAAAGCACCGCGCCTCCGGGCTCCAGGCGCGGCCGCGCCACGCTCGGGCGCCACTGAGCTCCTCCGCGCGCTGCGCCAGTGTTCCCAGGCGAATCATTGCCTGACACCTTCGCGTTCGCGGCTGGTAACCTTGAAAACATGTTTTTCCACCCAAGGCGAAGGCCTGCCTGCCAGACCCTTTCAGCTGCCACGGTTTATAACGCCCTTGGGCCGGGCGTTTTGGATCAGCTTTGAAGCGGGAGGCATGAGCTGAGCCACCAGTGGAGACCGTGTTTGGTGCAGCGGTGGAGCATGTGATGTGCGAGTACCGCAAATGCCTGGGGATGGACCAACTGGACAATGTGAGGCTTGAGTGGCACCAGCCCGTGCACCAGCACCAACATCACCAGCGGAGCGGTTGATTCTTTGATGGAGCATCCTTACAATCCTCGGTGATCTGTGCTCACAGTAATGATGTAATTTGCATGAACCGGGTTGTGACAACATGCGGAATCCCTCATCTTCGAATCCTGGCGCTCTTCTGCGCACGGATGCCTCAAGGGTTTATAAGACCCATGGCAAACACATCCACGGACACACTCGCACACAACCATGAATTGCTTGTTTCCAGTCCTGTCAAAGCCTCCTGTGTCACAGGCATTGTTTTTCATTGGACTTAGGACAATCTTGTTCTTGATGCTTTCTCTCTGTGCGGGTGTGTCCCCTTCATATATATATATATACATATATAGCTGTTGATTTCGGGGTTTCTCCCTGTAGGGCGCCCCCTTATTCATAGCTATTGATTTCAAAGTTTCTCCCTGTGGGGATATGCGCCTAACAGCGCCACCACCACCATCATCACCACCCACCGCCATCACCACCACCATCACCTTCACCACCACCATCACCATCACCACCACCACCGCCACCACCATTATCACCGCCACCACAACCATCACCAACCATCACCATCACCACTTTCACCACCACCATCACTAGCACCATCACCAGCAACACCATCACCATGAAGGGGTCTCTTGCCAGGACGTTGTTTTGGACTAGAATCCCAGCTCTTGCTTTCCTGGGCCCGGTTGCAGGGACATGTTGGGGGCATTTGGGGGTACAACCTTTGAACTTACACACCTTAATTTTCTAGTGGCGCAGTCCTAGAAAATGAACAGAAATGTTTCAGAATCACTTTCTATAATCAGAATCGTGGTGCAGGGGCTGCGAACCTCCTTTTTCTACGGGACAGGCTTGTTGTGAACGGTGGCTTTCCCACTAATCTGACGACGCCCACAGATGACCACCGGCTTTGCTGCTTGCGTGGCATGAGACGCCTTGTGTTGGCCGCGTCTGTCAGCTGCGCTCTAAAAACATAGAATAATCAGAATAATCTACGGTAGATTCATCATGCTTAATTTTAATGTAAAATATGTTTCCATGGCTACTCTTGCTTGGAAGCACAAAAACATGTTGCCTGGACAAGTTGCCCAATCATGTTTCTTTTGTTGATTAATCTGATCTTGATTAATCTAGAGTGCCCTTCCGCGTGGCATTTTGTAGAGACTCGGTTTTCACACCCTTGTGAGTTTGTAGGCCTCTGGAGTCTGGAGGTCAGCGCAACCTTTCCTGGCTAACTCACGGGGGCATTTATGTTCATCTTCCTTGCAATTACAATTACCTACGTGCACCCCTGCAATCAATCACCCAAACTGATCGGTCAATATGTCAATCCCATGGGTCGTGTTTGGGGTATGTAGTTTGTCCAAAAAATGATGGTTTGGCTTGCGGCCATACTATGCGTTGGTTGGATTTCCCACAGAAGAAGACATGTGGCATGTACATGAGGTGACTGCCATACAGTTTGACGAATGAACCCCATACAAAACATCCATAGAACCAATTCAACCATTGTTCCCATTCAGCTACACTAAAATCAACCAAACCCAGTGTCCTACCCAAGCACACACCCCGCTGAATTCTCCGCGATTGTTGAATAAAGGATTCCAAGAACAATGACGCCATGAGGCAGAGTGTCGGAGCAAACTCCTGAAGAAGCAGCAGGAGCAAAGCCGGGCCCCATGTCGTTTCGGCAAGCGACGCCACCGGACGAGGTGACGAGGTGAGGTGACCTTGTTTGAAAACATCAAGCCACAGTACGGTTTGAACCTTCTTGAGGCCTATTTTGAACCTTTTTTTTATGCATCCAACGCCTACGGTTCCAATCGGTTCAACGTCAACTCCGTTGAAGATAGGATGCTAGATGCCCGACCCAAGCTTGTGTTTGAACCAGATGCTTCGACATTCGGCCTTTGGGATTTAATCTCTTTCGCGTGGAAAGCAAAATCACGCATGTTGAAGGCATACCTTTCAAGCAATGTTTGAGAACAACTTATGGTCCCTGCCATTGCCATTGCTTCTTGTGCAAACTGCTCACTTCTGTCGTGAACCGCAAGCTGTACAGTTTGACCGGGAAAGCGAGGAATCCAGTAGTATTCTCAGTACAACATGTTGTTCTGGTGAGCATTTGCATGGCTGAACCAGTTTCTCAACTGGCAACTGGACGAAAAGCCAATGCTCATGGACAGAATGGTAGACTGCTGGGACTTGTCATGTGAGCAGTGGCCATCCCCCCCCCCAATACATCCTTTAATAGGGATTCAAACCGTATGATGGGTTGTCGACGTCGGCAGTAACTCATGTCAAACAATAGTCATGTTTGTCGTCCGTTGTCCCAAAATGTTCAGTCCCAGACCATCCATGTAAGGCCTATATAATTTAAAGGCTTACGCCTGACAGCCGGCAGCATCCGTCCCAGTGACGGGGGCTGACTGCTCTGGCTGCACCTAGCAGCCAAAAGTCGGGAGAGCCGTCGGAGAGAGAAGAGGCACATGGAGCTCGACGGATGATGAGAGGCGGCAGCTGTCAGCTGGCAACAAGAGCGTCGCTCATGCCAGCTAGCCACAGCCCTGGTGGTGACACGAAGAAGTCGCTCCGCCCTCACAGACATTGTCCGCAAGTCGGTTGTTGTTTTTCTTAGTCACTTTTTCTTTTTTGCGACGCGTACAGTCTTAGCCTACATGCTTGCAAAGTGTGTACGTGGTAGCCTGCAAGCAGCCGCGCGCGCGCTGTGCCACACACGAAAGAGTTTCTCGCGCCAGGACAGGCTACGCCCGAGACATGCGCCCAAAGCAAACGAAGAACACATGGTGCACCAAGACCGAGTCAAGCACAGGCAGACACACAGACCGTCCCAAAACAGAGGCGTGCACGGGATGGGTGCCAACTCTTCTCCTTGTATGCTCGCTATCGACGTCTGGGCGCGTCGCGAGCGGTGTGTTGGCAGCCGTTCCCGTGTCCGTCAGACTATTTTCTGGCTTTATGTCTGGCCGTGTGTTTCGCGATCGCTCGAGCACGAGGTCTACCGGGCCGTAGAGTGTGGCTCTGTCTTGTTACTGCCGTTCGGTGCATGTTTCGCGCTCGCGCGCTCGCTCGCAGTCGCTTTCGCATTCGCTACGTCCGGGGAACGTGGCTTTGGTGAGAGACGGCGCAAGTTGAGAACACGACATCGTGCAGACGGCTCTAGCAAGCAAAGTCGTACGCACAAGACAAATTGCACAGAAGACCGCAGCAGTCGGGACACGCGCATACAGGAGCCACACAGAGGTGTAGGTACACTTCGGTGCAACCCAGCTGCAGCAAGCAGATGTGATAGAACAAAAAAAAGTCTCCTCCAAACCTTTTTCGTTTCTGCACCGTTCCAGAGTGAGCGGCGTGAGCCCGGGGGGTAGATGCACACTCATTGGACGCGGAATCTGCCAGGTCGCTGGCTCCTATGCACCTGGCTTCTTGCAATCAGCGGTGCTATTTTGTGTAGCTCTGCAAAGCAACTGGATCCGTTATTTGGCTTCAATCTCTTCGGTTGTGTCTTCAGCCTGCAAGCACGGCGGGCCTTGCGAGCAAGGTTGCCCAAGCAAGGCTGGGTTCGAAAGAGTCGCTTCGCAGGCGGAAGGCGTTGCAAAGGACATCGCCGGCACAAGGCATGGAAGAGGCTGCGAACAACACTGGAAGTGTGTGGCTGGATCTGGTTGTTTCTCTGCGGATGTCAAGGCTCCTCCGTGCCACCAGTGAGCTATCGGGATGCATTCTCTGTCCACGGCCGAGGGTACCAAGCACGAAAACGACGCCATCGAAAGCTGCACGCCGTGTACGGCAAGCCGCCAGCACGACCTGGAAAGAAACGGCAGCTAGCTAGCACGCAAAGTGGATGAGGCCGCGGCGCAGCAACCCAAATACAGGCCTACTACGTGCTAGTGCCGGGTGAGGGCAGGTGTTTGTTCTACGCCGTGAGCACGGAAGTCAGCGGAGGGCAGAAATGGGAGCTCAGCTGTGCCATTGGGTGTAGCTATGCAAAGCAACTGGATCTGTTATTTTACTTCAATCTCTGCGGCTGTGTCTTCAGCCTGCAAGCACGGCGGGACCTGGGAGAAAGATTTCCGAAGCAAAGACGGCGCCGAATGGGTCGCTCCGCAGGCGGAAGGTCTTACCAAGGACACCGCCGGCAAAACGTGTGGACAAGGCAGCCAACAGCGCGCGACGTGTGTGGCTTGATCTGGTTGTTAGTCTGCGGGTGCAGAGGCCATCCCTTTCCACGCACGAGCACTCGGGATGCATTAATTCTGTGGCCAAAGCCGATGGTACCTACCACGAAGGGTACGAAATCGAAAGCAGCATGCCGCGAACGGCAATCCTCCAGCACGCCTTCGCAAAAGACGGCAGCCAGCACACCATGTGGAGGATGGCACTGTGTCGCCGAGTCCCCCGGACCGAGTGATAGCAGCGCCACGTGAGAAAGAGGCGGCAGCGACCCCAGCAGCCGAGGCATTGCAAGCTCGAATACAGTCGAACGTTGTACACGTGCCGGGGGACGGCTGGTGTTTCTTCTACACCGTGAGCAAGTACTTCAAAGGAGGGACGAACTGGGATCGCAGCGCAGCCGCCGAAATCTACTTGCAAGCCATTGAGTGGTTGTTGGCTGCCCAGCACGGGCCTCAAGCAGACGCAGTTGCAACCGCGTGTGTGCCGTTCAACGCAGACGAATTGCGCCTGCACGAGCACTTCCTCCGACAACAGCCGACTGCCGTCGAGACTGCAGCCTTGAATACGACCGAAGTAGTCTTATTGAGTAAGCTCCATGCATTATTGCCCCAGCCTGCCATGTTAGACTCCATCCACCACGCTTCTGCTGGCGTGGAGTTATGGGCTTTGACCCAACAGTTCGAGTTTGAGTGTCTTATTTGGGGTTCCCAAGAGAACGTGAATTACTGGGTGCGGTCCATGGACTGCCTCACCGACCAGGAAGCACATGCAAAGCTGCAACACCACAGCCCGGTATTGGAGCTCGTGCATGCGCCTTCGGGACCTTACAGCACGTGCACCGGCTCTGCCAGGCAAGGCTGCGGTGCAGGAGTGGGCCAAAGGCTGCGGGGGGAGCGTTTGAGGGCTGCCAACCACCATCTATTTCCACACCAAAAAGAGGCGAGCCGCAGCCAGCTAAAGTGCCTGACGTTGCCTGGCACTTCGCCTTCGGGACCCTGAAGAAAAGAGGTGTAGGCCGACCAAAATGCGCCTTCGGGACCTTGCAGCAGAGAGGCGCAGGCCGAGCCGCAGCCAGCCAAAATGCCCAACGTCGCCTGGAAAGGCAGCGGCGCCCAACGTCGCCTGGCCTGCCCAGTTGCCTGGCAGCTGAGTCAGAGGCGTGCGTATAAGGCAGAATGCAACCGACGGCCACACCCAGAAACGGCACCGTCGACACACTCTGAATCTCCTTCGGCAGAGAAAGGCAGCGACGCCACGGCGAAACGCTCTGGATCTGCTTGGCCTGGGCAACTGTTTCACCCTGCGGTGTCCCCGGCGCCGCCCCGCCTAGGCGTCAGCTAGGCAGGGGTCGGCGGACTACATTGGGGTTGTTGGAGGGGTCAATGCTGGCTTGTTTTACTACATTGGGGTTGTTGGAGGGGTCAATGCATTGGGGTGGTTGGTGGTTTCAATGTAGGAGTGCCATGGATGGGTCTGGGAGTGTCCTTTGGCCTTCACCCTCAGACTCGATCCGAAGGCTACGAATCGCAGAAGGACTGGATGGTGGAAGGCTGTATCTACATACCAGCAGCCCTCAAACCCATGAAACATACTGGTTAATACAAAAACATACAAAAACCATATTTTGGCAGGGAAATCAATGTTTTTGGTGGTTATTTGTGGGGCCCCTGATTACTCCTCACTCCGCTGTATACGGCTTGCTGCTGTTTTCCACTGCGCAGACGCCTAGGCACCAAACAACTGCGAGCGCGAAGCAAAGGCAATGCCAAAGCGCCACTGCCCTGGGAGGAACCTCGTGGGAAGGGAAGCAGTGGCCGAGGAGGGCACAAGGAGACCGACCGGTTGACCTACTCAGAAGGTGGGACACCCTGGTTTTTCCCACCCAAATTGAATAGAAGAGACGACCTGACTAGTCGGTCTTATCAGGGTGAGTTCCTCCAGGTGGCCCACAGTGATCTCAGAATAGATTAGGGAGGTCAACCTACACTCCTTGGAACTAACATGGAAGTGGAAAACCACCTGTTTGTAGTGGAAAAATTGTCTTCCAAAGGGCCATTCTCCACTTCCATGTTAGTTCCAGGGAGTGTTTCCTTTTTCTTTTTGTCCAACCATGTTTTATCCGCTGCCATATGGACTTGGGGCTTTTAAGGGCTCTTGGTGTTTGACGAAGCTCGAGAACATCGAAGCATGGGGCACCGGATTGCAGGACCGGTTGTGGGCCAGAGCTAGTAAGCACCCCAAAAGTACGCAGGTCAACTTTTTTTTGGGGCATTGACGGCATTGACTTCTAATATGAACAGATGAACAACAGATGAGAAAAGGTTAACATCTTTTTTACCAGCAAAACTGAGGGAGTCCGGCTTTTTTAATAACATTTTTTGGAGATTTGATGGACAGTTCGGTGAAACCTATTTTCTAGCACATAACGTTCCGGGAGTCAGGCTCTTTCAAAGCGTTCCCTGCGGGGTTATATAGTATGTATAGAACCTGAGTGACCTGATTTTGGAGGATCAACGATCCAAAATAAGGCCAACATTCCTATCATGAAGGAGGTCATGTCTATATATATATATATTATATACCTGGAGTCTCCTCTGGCCTTTTTTTGCGTATTTAGAAAAGGACTGAAAAGGACTTTTTAAAGGGCTCCATTGAAAAGAAAAGGAGCAACCTGTCAGAAAAGGTACCTGATACATGGATCATGGTTGTTGATGGTAACCTGCAGATGGCCCAATCAGCCTTAGTTTCCTCGATTCTGTACACTCTGAATCCCACAAGACCGACGCCAGGGACCGCACACGTTTTGCCATTGCCAAACCCAACCACTAGAAAGCATGGGGGCTTCCAGCCACAAAACCTATAGCAGAGACACGCGCCGAGAGTCCGATGCATGCTCCATGCAAGCAAGTGTTCATGTACTATACATTCATCAGCCATTCCCTTGAACCATCCACCCCGCACATTACAAGACCATTTCGTAGACCAACAGGGAACTCAATCTATCCAAGTTTGAGGCTTGACCGGGGCACCCAAAAAAATCCAAAACCCCAAAAAAGTAGCAAAATTTAAAAAACGCACGGACGGGGGTCGGACGGGTCGGACGCATCCGCTTCGGTCGCCGAAATACGCGTTTCGGTCGTGGAAATACGTTTCTCGGACGCACCCGGTTTGGGTTGGAAACTAAAAAGGTCCTCGGACACCCAAAAACGCGTTTGCCCTTCCCATACAAGTCGCCAGAAGAAGACAAACCGTGGTTGCCACAGTCCGGTTCAACCCCACAAATCACCGTTTGCAATGTGGCATTCATGCATGGTCATTGACCGAGAGAACGCAAATCTCGTGACTTGAGCACTGAGATGCACTGAGGCAATACGAGGGAGAGAGAGAGGAGATCAATTGCACACTGCACAACAATGATCAATAAACACTGCACTGCACATGAGAGAAGAGTGTGAGAGAGAGAGAGAGAGGAGGGCGCACCTCCTCCACGGCACCACGGGGACCACAAGCATGGGCTTCATGTTTGAGCCACCGCTCGTGACACACTGAAATCTCTCATGGAGTCTCCCTGAGGTCTTTATTTTGGGCCAGGCAACTATATTGTAAAAAGGTCCTCAACAACATAAAAAGGTCCTTAACATTTTTTTAAGGCCCGGCCTAACATAAGAGGCCTGAGGGAGACTCCAGGTATATATATTGTAGTATGTATGATTGACCATGCAGCTGCCCACTCCCAAGATTCAGAGTCTTAAGTATTTTCATCCGTCACCTCCTCGTGTCTTGGCTTAAGCCGCACAGAGAGGCACCCAAAAGGATGAGCGAGAAACGAGATGCAACACTCACAAGAACATCATATCCAAGTACTGCAACAGTTTTGACCAAAGAAACCTTGTCAATATGTTTCGACATGTGTTGACTAATGACTGTATCGATCAGTTCAAGTGACTCCCAGTTTGGACATGGGATCGCAAGGTGCCTCGTGAGTCGCATGGTCAAACCACGCACGGACAGAGGCCCCCTCTCCAATGATACACACGCCCTCCACACGCCCTCCCCACGTTCCACGTGGCATGTCCAACTCCATCGTCCCTTGCCTGTGAAGCCTCCAACCGCCGTGGTGAGGACCTGAGCCGTGCTGCCACAGTCTCCAAGCAGGCTCGCGACGGACCGAGAGTCGTACGACCGTGCCGGGACGTGGACGTCTCTTTAATAAACGATGTATTGACTGTCCAGACTGGGAATGCACAAACAGTTTGATGGACAGTATATGTCTGTTGTAATTCACTTTCTTTTGTGAATTTGATCAATCAATGAATCAATGAGAAGTGCTTGCAAATGTTGAAATCAAGCAGTTAGCAGGTCAGCAATCTATGCATCATCCGGATAACAGTACTCCCTGGAAGATACCCACATGGAACCCGAAAACCCCGCATGTCTTCCAAAGGTCCATGCCATCAGATTCCATGTGGGTCTCTTCCCGGGGTGTATCTTTAGATTCATTGAAGGTTCAGGATTGTCGTCACAACAAGTCTGATGTTTTGGATCAATGTCAACGACTGACTTTCAGTGGAAGAAGGGACCGGCTCCATGAAGTGGCAAGTCTTCAAGCGCTTACGTTGCATGGCAAACGGGAGCCTCACGCCATGAAAAACGTAAAACCGCAGGGTGACACCAGGATATAGGAAAAGCTCCCAAGCCAAGGGCTTCCTAACATCAATGACACTGGCGCTTTGAGGGACATGTGAAGATCCTTTTATTTTTCCCCATGTGGACGACACGGCGACGATGAGCGAAAGCATGAGGGGAACAGTGGAAGACCCACTGTGGATGGATGGATCTTCAATCTGAGCCACTCTAATGGAAGTCATGCGGGTCGTTGGACATGCGAAACGCTTAACGATGGAAGTCATGTGAGTCATGTCTCTGGAAGACCCACGGTCCGGAGACCTACCCTTCAGGCCGTTGTTTTGGGACGCTGTTTTCGTTCATTCCGGATATATAACTCCTTGTTTTTCACGGGTCGGTGTCTGATCCAACGGCGCGTACCAGGGGTCTTGCCAATCGAAGAAAACACAACGGTCCATGGAAATCCGTACAATGTGTTCAAAGCTCTAGAGGAAAACCACAAAAGAAAACATGTGCATCCTCCCTGTGTTGTTATAATTAAATGGTGGTCTTTACAAAGGACATCCGATTTTAGAAGGTTCTATTTGTGGCAATGCAGTTCAATCAGTTAAGGTGTACCATGAAACCAATGAATGTCCAATTCAACCATGAATTCTCAGCCCTCAGATCGCGTGTTGCTCTCCTGCTGCTTGGAGGCCAAAGAGGCGGCACACGATGTCGGGGATGTGCAAGCGGAAGCGTGGCTTGGCGAAGAATTCGTCGTTGAACGTACCTTGTGAGGATCCAGGAATGGACCTGAACCCAGCCTGTGAAACCAAAGTAGGTTTTGAGGATGATCAACATATACCGTTTTGATCCGTTTTGACATGTTAGCCCTTTGGTGGCTCCTGGCCCATATCCTCAGGTTCATTGGTGGGACACTCCCTGGCACCCCCTACCACCGAACCTGGGGATTTCAAAAAAGAAGCATTGAATGGCCCAAGCTTTTGGCCTTCTACTCTATCCTCTCAGCGCATCAGGTGGATGATAGGTCGAGCATGGTAGTTCGGTATATTCTCAGTCATTCTCAGTCCCATTTTTGTGGATGTCCCTGTTTGCCCGTTCTTTTTGGGCAAGCGTATGAACCAAGAAGTCTTGCACGCGTCCCGCAAAGAATATGGGTAAGGATTCACATTGATCACCTCTACCAACCACAATTATCCAAAGTCGGGTTGTGAATGTTGGACACATTGACAGTGACATGCAAGACAATGAAACACGTTGCAGTGGTTTCAGGGTAGATGGCATGCCGTTGATACCCTCTACCAGAACCTCCTTTAAAAAAATATACAACACACACACACACATGGAATGTCTCGTCATCCACGTTAAACCAGAAAATTACACAAACACGGTGAACTGATGGGTTTTGTTTTCGGATGAACTGGTGGGCTCCCGGCACTTGGCGCCGCACCACAGGGCCGCGCTGTGTGTCATCGCTCAGATCCACGTCTTTAACGGCAGCGATCTGAGCCGATGGAACTGATGGAACCAATGGAGCGGAACCGTGTGGGGAGGTTCGGGTTCCTGCCCTGGTTTTAGCGGATCAGGTGATGTTAATAAGCATGTTTATGTTATTTAATTCTTTATAATTGTATTTTCTATCCTGGGGAACATGTATATACATTAATGAACAAATCCAAGTTCCTATATAGTTCCTGCTCAAACTCGACGTGTCCCAACACTTCACTCTGTTACTCTGAAGAAGAGTGCGACTGACATAACCTCTGGTGGAGAGTTCAGCCCAGCGACACATCATCACATCAAGTGACCAAATCGAGGTTCTCCATATTGGTCAAGTGAGATTTCTGGACTAATTTTGGTTAAGAGTGGACCATGATTTGTGTCACCAGTCACCTTGGTCGTCCAAATGCTGCCACATTTGGACGACCAAGGTGTGACCCGAACACAGTGCAACCGAACACAACCAACTGCAGGTCCTTCTAATTGTATATCGATCGTTTCATATTATTGTTTGGGTCAGAGTGAACCGATACGTCCTAAAATCTTGGTTCTCAAAAACCTGAAGTGCCGGTTTCACGTAAGGGTGAATCAATATGCAATCAATTCTATTTCTTCCCATTATACATTGCAAGAGGCTTGTAGCCAAACATAGGCAAACCACCAGTCAATAGTTGCAGCGTTGGCCTTGGCTGGGAAATCCTCGCCTTCCCCCTATAGGGATCCAGTCGTACCGAACCTCAGGTTCGGTACGACTGGACCCTCCAAACCTATAGAATAATAGTGTCTCCATCCTCACCGTACTGAAGATATGACTGGATCCCTAGGCTCCTACGGCTCCTACGGTCCGACCGAGGTCGACCGCAGAGCGAAATCCTCGAAACCTTGGAGGATGCCATGGCTCTGGCGGTCGAGGCACGGGATCCTTTGGTCACTCCGAGGGAAAAGGATCCTGCCCAAAGAAAGTGGAATGGAACTGGAAGAGTGACCTTTTTTTCCATGAACATGACCTATCCATATCCATGTATAAATAGCTAACTTTTTCATACATGAAGTGTTTAGGTATGGGCCGCAAAGAAGGGGCCAGGGGTGGATCGCCCAGCTCAGCGCGCGAGGATCCATGCTGCGCGACTGGTTGTGAAATGTTAATGAATGGATTTGCACCACCCAAGTCATGGTTGAAAATTTAGAGATCTCAGTGTTCAGCAATATCTCCTTGGTGACTTAAATCTCCGATTGGTAAACTATCAGATCCAGTGGCTTAGATTGGAGGAGCAAGAACCCTAACTTACTTTCCAGTAGGTTTTGGTGTGTTGCCAAATCCCCATGCAGAAGATTACAACGCTAGGGTTAGGGATCCAGTCGTACCTTCTCCGGTACGGTGATGTGTTCGACACTGTTATTTGTCGGTGCCAGCCCGTCGGGTCCGGCTGTACCGAACCTGAGGTTCGGTACGAAAACGGATCCAGAGATCCCTAGGGTTGGGATAGAGTTCAGTACATCCATAGATCCACGTTGTCCGGTTTTTGTGGGACCGCTTCTTAGCCTTTTTGTGCCAGGGAGGTTGGAGTGAGCAACCCTGAACCTTCGTGAAAACGACGTTTTTGTTTTTCACATTTTGTGGGGCCTTTTTTTGTGGCGCCTCGTGGAGCATATCCTGAATATAAATCCCATCATCCCATCTCCAAGGCGGAGGATGGGCGGACGGAAGCCACGGCGTTGCTGTTGAAGGCAGAGATTCATTTGCAGGCGCCCATACCACCGGAGGTCTTGCGGGCCACAGGAAATACGTGATCACCTGCAGGTCACCTTGGAAGATTGGTGGCACCCCACTCGAACAGATGGAGTTCGTTCGGTGAAACTGTTTAAACCTAGTTATTGATGACACCCCACGAAAATGTTGAACCCTAGTCATCCAGTCGTACCCTCCTGGCACCTACATGTCTCAGTGTCTCCGTCCTCACCTGAGAAGGTACTAGACTAGATCCCTATAGGGGAAGAGATGGACGTTCCTTCTGTTCCGGGTCACCGGGATCCATGTTGGATGTCGTGAGGTGGGAGGGGTCGCTCTCTCCGAGCTTAGAGCTTTTGGGAGGAGGCGTTTGGTTGTTTTGGACGGAGAATGTAAGCATTTCAAGAAGTCGTGGGGGTTGATCGAGCAACCGGAATTAGTTGGTTGGAAGCTTAAACGCCAAGAACGAAGAAGACCTGAAAGCATTGACTGGCTGGATATTTTGTATACATGTTTTGAAACGACTTGGGCCAAGCAGAGGATAATCGTTTCGCCTTCTAAGGAGTAAAAGCGTGCACGCAGAAAGGGCTTGAGGCTTGAGTGTTCCATTCAGGGAAACGGAAGTTCTGCCGGGCCACTGAAGGGGTATTTTTGATTCTTTTTGGCACGTTCCTAACCGGCAAGCGCAACTCGAAGTCGAAATGGCCCACTTCAAGCATCGGAATTTCCAAGACCGGAGGACGAGCCACGAGTACTGAAGGATTTTGAAGGTGTCTATCGTCAGGTTTCAATCATATGAAGGGATGACGGAAGCTTCTGCAAGTGAAGCCAGTTTTTCACCTCCAGTGTGCGTCTCAAAGGCCTTCAACCGTCATCATCCACGGGGCCACAGGGCCCTTGGTAATGGGATAGACCCAACCTGGAACTTCCGATGGATGCTTTAGTATCTTGATGTATCTTGTAATCCCAAAATAGGAAGGTGGATGGGTGGGTCGAATAGTCCAAAAAAGTTATTTACTGGTTACTAAAAATATGTTCCTGGTCCTTTTATACTTTAAATATTGATTTCTATTGTAGTACCTGAAAAACTGAAAAGCGCCCTTGGTTTCTATCACCTGCTCGAAGGCCTTGGGTTCCCGGGGTTCACCGCATGCTCTAACCGCGAAGCGAAGCGGCAGGCGGAAGAGCTGCAGGAGGCGCTGAATGCAGCGAGGCGCCGATGGAGCGACACCGCACGTAGTGGGTTCAGAGATGTTCCGATATAGTTCGATGTTGAAGTGCGTTTAATTTTCAGATATGTTCAGTTTTAGTGTATTGTTCCACCCTTACGTGGGATGAATGGTTTTTCAAAGTGCGTAGGAACCAGCAAGCAGCATGGATCTGACATGGACGGGTCAGACATGGATGTGCCGTGCATGGTCTGGTTGTGGAACGTGTCGGGGAAGAAGATGAACTGTTTGCTCTTGATGACTCCTTGACCTTTGGGGATGGGGTTGGAGTTGCTGGCAGGGTCACACAAATACAATGATGGAAACATATATGTTCACCCACCTGAAAGTTGTATATGGCCAAAGCAAGTTCACAAGCAAACTTTCATGGGACAACTCTTTGGAATTGACATGAATTGACCAAGCCACTTTCCATCAGTTTACAATTCACAGCACAAATGGTGTCACCGGTACACATGGTGTCACCAGTGATGGTCGTGTTTTCCTTCGACTTGCGTTTGTGAACCTGCTCAATGTCTGAGGGATTTACATGGATTTACTTCTAAATCACTGGAGGTCAACCGACTAGCAGCTAATCTAAGCACTGGCAAGCTTTCCAGGAAACTAAGGAATTCGGAGTGAACACATTCTCAAAAAAATCCGTGCAAAAGAAAGGTTTGGTCGGAAATGAAGATGTTCTGCGGTCTTAGATTTGGGGCATCATGAAGCACCTGTGCTTACCTCTTCACCGTACCAGCTGTGTGGGCTCCCGGACGCATGACATTGACCTGGACCATCCAGGACCATCTAATGGGTCAACGGACTACCCGACCCGGTCGTACTTGGAGATGTTCAGACTGAACACCCAGTGGATTGGATGGTCCAGGTAGAAGTTTCTGGACTGGTTCGGATTTGCAGCAAGGGCTTTCAACTGAATCCAAAGTGATCTATTTCAGACACCACCCACAGGTTCTCCACATTTTGCTTAAACAAAAGAGCTCGTGAGACCAGAGAGAGCTATTTCTGAAGCCACTTCGCCAAGCGACCCCACCTTGTGCGATCCCACCTCCACGAGGCAGGCGGAGCTGCTGCTGGGCCGCATGGACGATGAGGCGGCCAGTGCCAAAGTCGCCCCTCGGTCAGCAGTCGGTCAGTCGGTCAGTCGGTCAGCTTCAGCTTCATCTGTTGTGTTCATTTGTGTTCATGTTTTCCCTTGGGATCCATTGAAATTGTTGAGATAGTTTAAGTGACTTGAAACCACCAACCAGATGAGCGCGGTGGATATGATGGGAGTCCATTGGGGGGGGCGAGGGAGAGCCCAGCGCGGCGCTTAGAGTGAACCAGTGGTAGGTCGAGCTTGCCTATACAGTGACCTCCACATCTAGTTCAAGTGGCCACTAGATCACCTGGATCCACGTGTTTGGTATATAGTCCCAGTCCCAAGGGCCCCCTTCGGCTTTCAGGAAACACCATCAACTTTCAGAGAAGTACAGTTCCGCCCCAGCCATTCGATTCTCTAGAACCGCCTCAGCCAGACTGGACATCACCCTTCCACCGAGTCCCGGAAGGGGTCCTTGCTCCTCGTTCCGCAGTCGTCTGACACCAGGTCCCTTCCGTCTCGTCACCGGTCGTCTACCTTCAACGTCATGAAACATCGACATGTGGAAGACAGGTCGCCAGGTCAATGGGTCAGTGCATGTTACGTAACATTTTACCGGAGTTTGGGGGGCATACAAAAACACTTAAGTCATGCAAACCATTTTGACCTGGTTTTACTGGGTCAGACTGGGCTTGTAGGGAGATAGTTGCTATGACATCTCTGGGGAGGGGTCACCCGGAGATCCACCGGTGTTTCCCTGTCACTGACACGGTCAACCTACCGGTCGTTCCGGTCGTTCCGTTCTGTGTGACCATGGTCACCAGTCTGACCGCCATCAGTTGATGAAGAACACATCCGAAGCAAGCCTTGAAACGGGTTAACCCTTGCTACACCAAACCCTTTCCGGCCGCTCAGTGCGCTTGCGCCCAATTTTTCGCTCCTTTTTGTGCCAGAAACAAGAGTGACTAGTGGTTCACAGATGAGTACTGTAGATATAATTGGCCGGACTAGCGCGTCTCCGTGATCGTAAGTGGGCCAGTTGGATCTCCCTGCTTTGTGTGTGATGAACAAAGATTTGCAACAAAGAGCACAATGTGATTATTTTGGTTTCCAAATGTTTCCAAGTTTTAAATAAGCCTGCAGTGTATGACATTGGATAATTGTTGCTCCAAATTTGACATCAAATCGATCATAATTCCAGTCCCACGTGGGTTTGCTTCAAACCCCAAAGCACGTGTCACACAGTTTATTATGTTGTTGGAAAGATCCATCACTGCCACAATCTATGCAAGTGGATTCGATGGATTCACCCTGAATCAGGTCACATTTCCCCGAATTTCCTGGTGGTTGTTTCAGACAATCTTTACTTGGGATGATGGAACCAACTGACATGCAGAGGTTAATTGACCTTATAGGACCCTGATGATACTGGAGTACCTATATGGGATAGTCAGTACCTGGCCATCAAATAGTCACAGTCAAACGAACGGGTCCTTCAACCTCCGTTGGTCCTTTTCAGCGGGGCGGTAGACCGCGGCTCCGCCGAGGAGGAGATCCTCAACAAGCTCCGCGGCTTTGAATTCCGCGTGGACGAGGCACCGGTGGCGCCGGCCTATCGATCCTACGGCTATGATCCCCGCATGGCCGCTCGGAGGCATCTGGTGGAAGAAGTGAAGAGATCGGAGAAAGGTGACAGAAAGTGGGTGAAGAAAAGCCTTGTTGATTACTGTAAAACCCATGGTGTTTGATTCTGGTAGTTTGGCTTCTGATTGTGGTAGTTTGGTTTTTGGGCTTTGTTTTGCGCATGTGTCTAGTTACATTGCTTTAAAATTCAGAAAAGTTATGGCACCCTTTAGTCTTGTGCGTTCTCTTTTTTGAAAGCCGCAGTTTTCTGCAAGTGCAGCCCACAGGAAAAATCTATAACATTTTCCCTGGAGGTTCGTTTGCAAAAAACCTGTTACATTGGGGGTGAAAGCAAGCACACAAGATGAAGGGTGTCACAATGCAGCTGGGCAGTGCAGTGGTCAGATTGTTTGGGGTTTAACATGCCGTTGCTACCGGTTAGCTAAAATGAATGTGGTCGACCACGGAAACCCTTTGTATTTGACTCATCTAGTTTAAAGGTTGGCGAAAATACTTGAACGAACTGCAGTGTACAGCTGTCCCCCCAAAAGAAGTACCACTCGGAGTGGATTCGGTCCTGGCAGTTCCTTAAGGGGTCATCGACGTCCACTCTTCACTCCTTCAGTCCCATTCGCCCGCTCATGGTGGAACCTTTCGGAGCGGCCTGTCGTCAGCTTCGAACCTCCAATCCATCGTGGCATCCAGAGCCGAATTGGTCGTGGCACCCTCAGGCGTTGCCATTGGTGTGCGGCCCTCAGCTCAAAAGCATGGGACTGTTGAAGCATCATACGTTGGGAACTACGGTCAGTTGATGGGTCGCTTTCTCTCAGAGTCCGACTTGAGTGAGTGGTGACCCCTGATTCTTCTCATCCGGAATCCAAAGGAACCACTGGCCATTGGTGAGGGAGAAAGGAACATGTCGGTGCTTCACCTCAGTGAGCATGAAGAGTCCGACTTCAGTGAGTGAGTTGGTGATGGTCGAAAAGCGAACATGTTCGGCCCACAGATCCTTTTGCTCATCTTCTAGGACGAAGTGTTTCATCAAGCTGCCAGGGTGACAGTTGATTTCAAGGGACATGGCATCAGCCACAACCCATGGGACTGGAATATGTATTTGACCTACATATTCCATACATGGAGTGTTTGTGTCATTGACACGCAAAAGACCGCGAATTTTGCTTGGAGCCCACAGACTGACGGAAACACACGACATTTAATTCACCCAATTTTACAAGACACTGTGCACAACAATCAATGCCGCCGAATACCCAAACACTCCATGATGTATAGTTGGGGTGGTTGCAAGCTGCTAGGGGTCCATGAAAAAACCTACTTGCATTCCCATGGGCCTCATAATATTTCGATATCAAATTATTGAGTTGAACCGTCTGGACTACAGGAAAGATCCTCTCTTTTGTTGGACACAAATGTTTGGAGACCGGTTTAAAGCCTGTTTGTTGATGTTTTGAATTATCATTGGATTAGACCAATTCGCAACAGGATCCAAGATGCACGTGGATTGAGCTGTTATTTTCATGTTGTTTTGCCGGCATTGGACGTTCCATCGTATCTTCAGAACTTCCAGTGAGCCATCTTACCCACCTAGTCAGCGGGAAACCGGATATGTTTGGGGATTTGGGACACCCCACACAACAGGAACAGAAGTGTTGGTTCACTGTGGTGGCGGCTCGAGGCGCGTGCTCATACGCCCTATACCTCACCTGGCAGTAGAATCCCCACTCCCGCAGTGCCCAGGTCGGGCCCCGACCCTGCTGTGGTCAAAGCCACTATCCAGGAGGTACGGGGAAGCACCGTGCTGCCGAAGCGAACGTGGGGCAAGGTATATACGTGGCTGTTGTGTTCATGTGCACAAACACACAACCTCACAGTCTGAGCGGGTTCATTATGCTGCCTCTCCCCTTTGTCCCCACGGTTCGTCGACTTGATCCTGAAAATGATGGTGACACTCAACAAGCTTTCAATGCCACTTCACCCATACGAGAAGAAACCTGTCGAAGAAGGGGGCAATTCCAAGAATTTTGTTGGGACCTAGCCTGGTCACTCGATTCATGCTAATATTTTTTCGACAGGCACCAAGGCGCCAAAAGCTATGCCAACATCTTCTGCTGCGCCACCGCAAAAGTTTTGCCCAGCTGCGCGATTCCATAAGCACAGAAGCCTTTCTGTATACAGACTCGAATACTCCAACATGGATCACGGAAAGCAAGACGACATAGAGTTGTCCGGAAAACCACAGAGCTGTCATGGGACATCATCAACAAGCCTGCTTTTTGGGGAGCAAACATGGCTGAACATGAGCAGGAACCACTTCCTCTCTGTGTTTCGGGAAAACACATTGTGGTCCTTTTTGTGGGGGGGGCCATGTACGGTTTAACAATCACGGGCAACCTGGTCCCTGTAAAACGCGGTGAACATGGCAGTTTCGGGACCAGCATGGCGACGGCAAAAGGGCGGCAAAAGGGGAATACAAGTAGATTGTGATGTTTCTTGTGTTGGAGCTGTTCCCACCACTTCTGCTTTCCTTGGGAACATGTTGAATGGGTTAACCCACATGTATAATAGACAGTTTCATCAGTGCCAGGTCACTTGTCCCAGTTCAAACTGACCCGAAAGAACGAAGAGGACCAGATACATGTTTGTGATTGATCTCCTCTGTGGGTGTGAAGACAAGTAGACCATGGTAGACCCATACCTGGAGCTTCCTCAGATGCACGTTTTTCAGGCTCGCTTCAAAACATGCGCAGCTTAAAATGTTTTTGATTCGCCTTTCTGCCTTGACAAGCTGAATGTGAGATGAAAAACATCGTAGTTACATGAAAGAAACAAATTTCAAATGCCAATCACAAGGACAAGGGGAAAACGGTTAATACACAGTTGGAGAGCAATTTCCATCTAAACTTCGCTGGAGATGTTCATGGAACCATTTCAACGCATGGGGTTGTTGGGATGCTGCCAATATGAAGCGCCTAGTTTGCTACCTTTATCAATCTACCCAACTCCCTGCGGGTGCCAGAGCAGCGGAAGAAAGTCTAAAGTCCGTCCACTTCGGATTCAATTGGAAGAAATCAGGTCACTTTCTGCAGAAAAGGACAAACCTGGAAGTTAGTGTGTTGAACGTCAACTTTTTCTTGATTTGATATGTTCTAAATCTGGCCTTTCAAGCTTGAAAGTGTCACTTTTCGCGCATTTTTCACAGCTTTATGTCGTTTCTTAATTACAGTTGGAAGAGCTGAACAACACAACGCAACGCTTGAGAACACGACGCAAAAGCCCAAAAACACAAGACCAAACCCCCCAAAAAAACGACACTAAAAACACATGCAACGCGGAAACCAGCGCAATACGACGCAAAGCCTGCGCAATACGACGCCGAAACGGTGTCGTCGGGGATGACAAATTCAGTCAAGTTCATGCTTGATGTGTTAACATGATCAACCCCGTTTGGCAGGGGGCTGGGCCCGGTCTAATACCTTAGGTCTGTTGCTTGCAACTCTGTTGCGCATGGGGCGGCTTCAGAGTCAACTTTGGAGCTGTTCGTCGTTGGGGGAAGCGTTGTCCGTGCTGCAACGAACGAAGCTACTGGACTTTGACGAAGGTCTTCGTTTGCTTATTGAAGACATGCCCTAAACAGCAGCTTCTATTTTTGGTACCTTCGTTTAACTCTTAGAATAAGGGTTCTCCGATAAAAAGACTCTGCCATCTGAAGGACGGGTGCCAAAGAAGATGTGGACATGGATTTTCATTATTTTACAAAGCCTGTTCACAAACCAGTACTTTTACTAGGAACTAATATTCTAGGATTTTTCATCTCAGACTGAAAAGTCAAAGAGTCTAAAACATGTACAGCCCACCGCAGTTCCAGGTATTAAATATATATATATTTATATATAAACAGCTACAAAAATGACTAGGACTAGAAGTGTTTGGTTATGCTTGCGTGACTCAAAATCTTACAGCAACGTTTCCTGCATAGTATAGTGTTGTGACATGTGTTCCATAAGGTTCCAAGTACCTCCAAATTCACCCCGCACAGGGCTCCGCCTGTCGAGAGACGCGGATATTCGATGGTTCAGTTGCACCGGTCCGCAGGTCACGAAGAAAATGGTCGGCAAAGAGGACGACTTGGAAGCTGATATGCCACTCATGGACTTAGGCTGGGTGTTTGTCCGATTCAATGTGTTTTGGTGAAGGACGGGTTTAAGATAAGTTTGTTTTGTTTAAGGTGACTTTATATTTTCTTTTTAGATATGGATAAATCAACCCCCTTCTGGGGAATGCAATTTTCCAGGTTCCTTCCAAGTTCCTTAACTCAGCAAATCGAAGCAAGTCAGATAATTTTCGACCCCCACATTGGTTTTGTTTTATGTGTTTTTTCTGTTCAGACCCTTTCAACCCCCAGTTCCTTGACCGACCTGATCCCGCTTCAGTCGGACGGTGGTCGGACCGTTGAGCGATCCAGATGCGTGGTCGACCGTTTTTCGGCCACGCACGTGTTGGTTGCTTGGTCACGTGCTTTGCCACACGATTTCTTAGGGCCTTGATGGGCTCTGCGCCGCCTTGCACCAGATTGTTGTTTTTGGGTGGAGAGGTGACATGTTTTGGTTGTTCATTATTATTTTGGAATGACAAGTGTTTGTGGAGAGATGCAATTGAACCGTTCTCCCGAGAGGTCATATAAACTTTTCAACTTCGGAATGGCTCGACTGTAGTCAACAAACGGTTTAGGCGCAGGCCTTGAAAGGGACAGACGTTCTGATTTCTGATGATTCTACCGGGTAATTTTGTACGTGGTATTTCTGGGTTTTGTTTCCAGCTAAGGAAACAACATGGTTTTTGAACAGTGTTGCAGGTTCACCAGGAAACCTCCAGAAAACATGCAAAAACTGCCCCGTTGATTTCTTCCGCCAAAAAACATGTTCTCCCAAGAAATGGTTGAAACGAAGGTCCAGGCCCAGTTGAGATATTCAGGTGCTCATCAACCACTCAAGAACTGAAGCTCAAGAACTGAAGCCATTCCGCGGTGAGAATGGATGTTTCGACGTTTGACGTGGTGGTCTGAAGGGTCGTGTGGGAAGCCATTCCCGGTTGAACACCGACAGTGGTGAGTTGGATGTTCCCCGACCGGAGCTGTGTTCATAGACATTGGAGATCAATTGACTATTGGGTCATTGAATTGATCAATGTATGGGTCCATGTATAGTAACTATTTCCAGCCCGGATGCTTTGGGGACCATGTTGGGTGATTCCAGGATGTGCTGAACGATGTTTGACTTGCCCTTTCGATCGCTGACGTTGGGCTCCAGCTGAGACGTCTGCGTGGCGGTCTCCCAAACGCGATCTTTTTTCCCACAGCGCGTTTGGCCCAGTTCTAGAGAGCATTTATTGGTTGACCTTTGACTTGACCCCCGTAAAATGAAAACCCGTAAAATGAAAACCTTGGAGGGTTTATTATCCTTATCACATCGCAATTATTACTACAGTGACAGTAGTATTGGGGCACTGGAAATCTATTAGCTTAGCAAGCAGTGCAAAATTCTTCAGTTAGTAGCATGGTTGGTAGCAAAATCCCTTAGTCGCTTAGAATTTACACGCTCTTGCCTCAATCGAATATCGGCGGCCAGTGCACTCGCAGTAGGCCCAGGGGTATTTTTGCATTCACTAGTTTCAAGAAAACAAAGCAACTTAACAGAACCTCAAAACTTTGCAGGTCAATATTCCAGTGGTGTTTGTCATGTTGTGCAGTGCCTATGACCGAACACAGACTTGTGGACATGGAATACGTATACATGACAGTGATGATTTCACTGGAGCTGATGATGCTCGACTGTCCTTCTTTACTCATTAGCTCTCTTCCGAATCAGCCTCCGGAGGAAGGACTGTCCTGCCCCCCGAAGGGTTCGCCAGTTCGGAGCTCAATGGTTTTTGAACAAACAGACAGTCTAGAGCTGTTTCGCTCGAAGATGTTCAGACATCCAAGATGTTCAAGAGTCGAGTTTTGCCGAGTTTTTCCAATCTCCCCAGGGTGAAAATCCGGAAGATCCCAGTCCTTTGACCCCCGTGCCTCTCGCGCGGAACGCGGGCACCTTCTCGTTCGCGCATCGAAGCATGGCCATGCGGCGCAGCTGATGTGCGAGGTTGGAGCAGACTGGCATGGCCCCGATTTCGGAAGACCATGTTCCTCCACCACAGGGGGATAAACTCCACTTCTATGTTTGTTCCAGGGGTTCAGAGGGGAGTTTTGTAAGCCGTAGAGATTCCTGAAAAGATCCAGCCACTCCAAAACAAAAAACAACAAACACATAAAGGCGACAAGACATGAGTTAGCACACACACACAAAACACAACACATAACTAGTCATGATAACAAAACACATACTACAGTTAGTCATGTTAACAAACACACAAAGAACACAACACATACTACAGTTATTACAGTCATGTTCTTTCCTTTTGATTTCCCTGTCGCACAAGACCGGTCCAAGCGTGTGCTTCTACTCGTCCAGTGCCTCATTTGGGCCCCGGCCAGGTAAGTGGTGACTCCCAGGGGAGGTGAGGTCAATCCCTCATCTCCCAGACCAAGGGGAATGGGACTTGAATAGTTGTCTATACATTAACAGCGGTTTCAGAGTAGATTGATGGCACCAATAGATTGACGTCTCATATGGGTATCCATATCAACAACCAAACTTGGGGATGGTGCCATCGAACCTCTGAAACCACTGTACATGACTGTATCATCATTTCCCAGACGCTCCATGGGACTCCATATATGCCGATCAATTGGGGTGGTGCCAGGGAGGTCAATGGGGCGGCATATGGACCATACATGGAGTGTATGGGTTTACACTAGGAGCCCCCAAAAGTAGACCGGTCATTACAGTCATCAAAGTTCAGATGGCAAGACATATGGTGAAGATCACGCAGTCGCAAGAACCCGACAAAGATCAGATGGCACCACACGCATTTGGACCGGCGCCCCACCCTTATTTTGAGGATCGAATTGAAACGGATTCACCAAAATGGCCGGTCAAGTGTTGGATAGCTTTGTGGTGTCCAGTGGTGTTCAGGAAGGAATGCATCCTGTACATTGTCTTTTGTTCCGTTTGGCTCAAGAAACCCACCAGCCCCCAGCCGACGGGCGCTGGTTCTGCCGAACTCGCCGAACTCGGCGGAGAGGTGGATGTGGTGAAGAAGATCTCTGAGATGGAGCAGAAAGCTCAAGTGTGGCAGGCGACGTCTCATCCGGCGCGGAAGAGAGGAGAGATAGGAGGAGTCTGGCGCGCTAGTAGTTGGGGGGGGGCCGTTCTGTTTGAAAGGAGGTTTTTGTTGGTTGTCTCCCTCTGTTCGTTGGGTTCCTTGCGGAGGTTTCGGTTTCCAGTCTGGTGGCAGCTGGTCTCATGCAGGTTTCCAAATGAGTCTTAGGGTGAAGAGAACAGGGATCGTCAAAGAACTCTTCTTCAGACTCCATGGAGCTTGGCTGCGGTTCTTTGGCGCGCCGGTTCGGTGAGATGGTCCGTCCCCTTCCTTAGAAGGTCCTCTTCTGGAAACTTCGGGCGGGACCCTCCTGGCCTTCTCGGATGTGAATTCAAATTGATGTCCCTGAAACAGGCTCCCCCACCATATGACTCCCGATCAAGCTAGGGGTGTTTGCAAAGGGATCAATGTTGGTTTATATGGCAGTTGGGCCATGGCACCAGTACCAGGGAGGTCAACCTACCAGGCTTTGGAGCTAGTCTCCCGGGGCAGTTGCTGCCAGTCCATGCGGAAGAAAAACCGGGCTAAACCAAATGCGATGTCCAAGGAAAACGTGGTCTGAAATGGTCTCATTTGCCCAGAAAGACGTTTAATAAATATTATGGTGCACTCTGGAAGACTAACATGGACCCTGACAACCCCTGGTTGGTAGAGGAAAATAGTCTTCCATGGGACCATTGTCAGGGTCTATGTTAGTTTTCGGGAGTGTAATATTTTTATCATTGCTTTTGTCCTGTACAGAAACTCTACAAATGACAGAGTTCACAGTTCTATGGCAGACAACGGATGACTTGTGGGTTTAATCATTGCTAAGTTGGTCAACGCTGACCGGACTGTTCAAGGAACATCGCACCGGCGGGGGGTATTTTGGACATATCAAAACCCATGACGGTCGTCATGGAGTCGCCGTCTGACAATGAAATATCGTCGCCGTCAGCGGGATTCAAGAACCCACTGCCATGGGTAAACTGGTGTCACTGGTGTCGCGTCGCCGTTCCTGAAGGGGAAGGGCTGCACTGCACTCAGCCATACCAGTCGGCGCCATAGATGCATGACTGCAAACTGTGGCCGCGTCCAAGCTCACAGCCGTGGCTTCAAAAGCTTTCCAGCTAAAGCGTTGCAGCTGACATGCCGCTTGAGCCCTAAAAAGACCACGTGTGATATTGTGGATGGAAGAAATCGTGCATCAGCAGCTGCTTATAGTAGGTTGTATACCACCTGTAGATACAAAAACTAGACGACTGCTTTCGGCACTGCATCCCAAGGCAGAGCTTTTTCTGACTTCGTTGCAGAAGTGGCCCGCAAAGATCTGGAGGGGTCAGACGTTGGAGAAAAATGTCACAGCGCAGAGATTTTGAAGCGGACTGAAATTGTTTGCAGTCGCATCATGGAAGAAATGCAAGCCGACATGATTCGTCATCCGTTGCCAGCAATTAGTTTAGATGGGCTACCCTTGGGATCTTCCAACTTCACCAGGCAGGAACAGCTACTGGTATGTGGCTGGCTAACTGCCCAACAGATGGTCACTTGCTTCGATGAATTTGTCGATGCTCCTGCTATGGGCATGGACCATCGTGCAGCAGACAGATGGCTCAGCGTAGATGCAAAGCAGAAGAGAAGAGATGTGTACCACATGTGCTACAAAAGGAAGGGCCTCGGGCCTCGGGCCTCGAAGCGCGGTGGTGGAAAGGGGAGCTGCCGTCCTCGGGTCGTCGGCGTCTTGTCGCCGTTCCTCGGGTTGCGCTGCGTTCTGAGCCAGATTGCCATGGTACATGAGCGTGACGTACCGAAAGCGGTGCGTCGAAGAAGTAGAGACAAGAGAAGAAGACAGGAAGTACATGAGAGTACCAGAATCGAGTCACAAGAAGGCCAGCTTCAACATAAGGAATTTGCTGCTGCTTTGCCAAGACTCGAACCACTGTCAGGAAGAACAGGGACAGTCCCGGGATAAGGTTGCCAAGAGGTTTTCAGTTGGCAACATCAGGCATGTCACAGCGAAGCCACCGACGATTTCATATTAGAATCTCAAATAAAGGGACCTGCGCTCAAGTGCCGAGACAAAGGCAAACCACCCTGCTATGGGAAGCGTACACTATAGTATCATTCTAAGTAAATCTCAACAGGAATGACATAGGCTGCGCACACCTCGCCCTCTACAGTGGCCGGAACGTAACCGTACGCAAAAAGCGGCTGGCGCACGAGGAGCCAGTGACTCAAGGTATATTCCGGTGTTGCAACTCCTTTTTCTACTTGGTTTTGTGGGTCAAAACCTGCACACGACCCTTGTCATCCCTTGTCACAGAAGTTGTTGAACGTAGAAACTGTTTTGCGACCCACCGGAGCCCCACCCACCTGGAGGGAATTCCGCAAGCTTCCAAGACTGCAAAAGAAACCCAACCATTGCACCCATGCCAAGTAAAATGCTTGGTAGGGTAGTGGCGACCATCCCTCCACCTCTTCCCCCCAGACGGGCGAAAACGATGTTTGGTTCTGGTATACTCTTTAGGACAATCCACATCAGTGTCCAAAGTCGAAGAAGTTGCCTGCCCTCAGCAGTTTGCCGTATGATCTTCCCATGGATTTGGCTTCTCCATCTTGTTGATAAGCCCCGCTGCCTTGCCATGGCTCAGTTCGCGGCCCGGGGATACCGCCCGTAGGACGTACAGTGGGCTCTTTGGCCCCTGAAGGTCTGAGCCTCAAAGCCTGAGCCACAACGCCCTGCGCCTTGAGCCACACTGTTTCTGGGTCACAGAAATATCTCTCGATTGTATCGCTATATATAAGTAAAAAATCAAAGAGTGGAAAGCCTCCTGCTGTAGCATGTTTTAGTGAGCGATACGAAGGAATCCCTCATCGCGGTAGTTAAGAAAGCGAACCGACAGACAAGTTTGCCGACAAACTCTGCCTCCAGCTTGGGAGCGAGACAAGAATCGCTTCGTAGTGTCGTCGATCAAAGCAGGTACACATCCATGGCTTAAATATCGACAGGGGCCAACCGAGAAAGTTTGCAGTATGGGGCAGTCGGTACAGAGCGGCGAAGTCGCTGCAGTCCACACTGAATTCCTGAACAAGAGCACTGACTCTGACTGTCTGAAGCTCTACATCCCTTTTGGCCAAGTTGCCGAAAAGGACCACCAAACTCAGACCTGGTCACAGCACCTTGTGTGGGTCGCTGTCCGCACCAGGTTTGAGGAAGCGATTCAACACCACCAGCCGCTGTGGGAAAGCGGTGAGGTTTTCCTGGTTCGTGGAACAAGTTTGGACCTCACCAGACTGAGTCTGCTACCAAAGCACACGAACCTGCCTTTTGAAGCGGATGCAAGTGCTTTGCGTGTTGTGGTCACCATATCCAGCAGTGTCCATGAATACATCTTTGGGTATACGAATGTTTCAGATGGGCACACCGAGACAATCAGGACCGCAACATTCGTCCTCGCAGAACGGTTAACCACAAGAACAACAAGAACCACAAGAGCCAGAAGAACCAATGTATGAAGAGCCACCGCATCCATCACGTGCATCATCAATTCTGAGTGGAAGAGCCACCGATCCAATCTCGGACCTCCACTGCTCAAAGTGTTATGATGCTGGAGGAAGAGTTGGCAACTGACTTTCTGTCCTTGAGTGCGGCCTCCAGCAGCTCGATAGCTGTGTGTAGCTCAACTCTCAGAAAACCCGTTTTTCTTGGATTGAACCTCTGTGATGTGTAGCTTCATTGGACAGAATAACTTCAGAGAGGATAGAGCGTTGCAGTCCCCCTTTAAAAACATACCCTTTGAAACAGGGTTACACACACCCGCTGTGGTGGTGGTTCTTCAAGGACCGCCACAAACGCGTCGCGAATACGTTGCCTTGGTTGGCCGCCAGGGGGATTTGGATCAAGAACTTCACAGGCTCGATGGATCTCAGGGCGGCAGTGATTGATTCGATCATGTTCGATCTGTCGACACGACCAACGTTGTTTTCGGTGGAGGACGGTTCTTTTTTGGGCCGCCCCTAGTTGGTCAAGACCTCGGGTCAATCAACCACCCCAATTGATCAGATTTTATCAATGGCAGTCCCATGCAGTGTCAGATTCTGGCATGAACAAGTCCTGCCTTTTACGGTGCATATACTCAGACATTTCATGGGACTGTATTGGTTGCAAACATTTGTTCATGATTTACCTGACCCGTCCATGTAAGCAACGGTCGCAGTCCCATGGATGGTTTGGGTATAGTGTTGTTGTCATTTGATTGTTTTTTCCGAACGGTTCTAAATTTAAACAGGGTGGCGGCCTGTCATTTTTACAACAGGTACAGGCCCAAGTGTAGATGCTTTTTCCATACACATAGAGCTGGCGTCAAGCCATAGCAAACATTGGTGTCTACCCGTGCATCCTGGAGAAAAGTAGTTCACTGGTGTTGGTCGAGGGCCAGATCTGGGAACGAAAGAGGCGTCCGTAGCACTCAGAAGTTCCAATCGGTAAGAGCATGTTTGGGAAGAGAAGATGCGGCAATGAACCGGAAATCACGCGGCATCTTGTACCAGTGATGAAGGATGCAGAAGGACGCTCCAGAAGTACCTGGCCAAGCTGCAACGCTGGCCAAAATGCACGTGGACCAAAAAAATCAATGGACATTGTAGGAAGGTCTATGAGTTTCAGTTTGCTCGAAGCCCCTTGCACTCCCCGAAATAGCACTATCATGTAGACTCTTGATTAATATCCACCCTTTTGAATTAGGCCCTCTTCATCTGGAGGTTTAACTATGCTTAACTAATCAAGAATCTACATTATAGTGCCTGAGAGTCAAAGACTATATTTTGTTAAAAAATGATTGACCTAGGGTTCAAGGAAAAAGAGAAGCCCTCCTTTACATCAGATGCAGCAAGAGAACATCGTCTTTGGATCGACTGACTCGGACGATGCCCAAACAGCTGGTCTTCGTTGACAGACCGCCTCTGAGGCCGAGGGGGCCAGGGTTGTCTTCCAAAGCCGATCTTCGGCACCCACCACTCTGGTGAATTACTAGCTCCATCTAGCTCCACTAGAAGAACCGTGAAGAACCTGTTCTTGAGACCATTGTAGACACTGAGTTCGGCAACAGACGAGTGCAGGCAAGTGGATTGATGACCTAGGTCTCCACCAAGCACTGCGGTGGGTCTCCAATGAGTTCGGAGAGCAACCACGACCTGCACCAGAACTTCCACCAATACCTCCCCGGACCATCCGACCATCGGGGTGCCCTGTTTGGAAGCCGTGTGGGGTAGTGTGGGGTAGTCCAGCCAGGACACCCTGGCGTCGGAGGGTCCTGGTCCTCGACTTTCTCCATTTTTCTCCTCTCAATGAAACAAAATGGAGAAATTGACCAACTTTCTCCATTTTTGTTCTCAAGAACCACAAGAAACAAAATTGGTCAGGGGCCCCTCCTTTGGTTGCCCCTAGCACGCCGCAATCCCCGGTCAATGGAGGGGTGAAGTCACTGAAGTCTAGATCCCCGCATTTTCTCCAACCTCAGTGGTTGCCCCATGTAAGTAAATGGCACTTCCCATGCTTCCTCGACAATGCTACCCTCTTTGACCTTCTCTCCAAGAACATGGAAATGGGCAACCCCCTCTTAGTAGAGGAACATCGTTTTCCGTTAAACTGTCCACTTCCATGATTGTTTGGAGGGGGAGTTCCTCCCTGTTTCACCCAATCTATTCCTACCATTCCCGGCTCTCACGTGTCCACAGCACCGGGCTGTAGGCTCAACCGCCAATTGAACGAGCAGACGTCGCAGGCCAAGTAGCGAGCAGCTGACGAACTCGTCGCAGCGAGAGGAAGTCAGTCATGATAAAGCACTATTTGGCGGGAGTGGGACTCAGAGTGGGATAGGATTTGTTGCATGGTGGGATGGAAGCTTGGCATGGCAACTGGATTTCTTTGATACCGTACTTGCCACCAGGGTGCTTGCTGTCTCTACTCGACAGATTGGAAGGATGTTGGTTAGTTGGCATAATATGACCATTATGACCCGTCTCAGGCTGTTTGTTGAAATGTTCCTCGACTTTGCTGATTTTGCTGTCCCTTTTTAAACAACTAGGAGAGGATGGACGTGTGTGCCAGACAGAATTTCACTACAATGTCACTACAAACATAATTTCAGAAAATAGACAAATAATGAAGAAGGTCAATGTGGAAGAACTGCCACAGGTTGAAACTCTGAAGCGGCATTTGGATCAGAAGAAGAGGACTGCCTTCCTCCGTTTCGAACATGGCTGGAAAGGATGTGAATCCGAAGTCCCCAGCCCTGGACGTTTGGGAAGGAGAAACCTTTTCTGCCGTGAAGCAAATCAGCAAATCTATAGAGCCACTCGATTCTTTGGAAGATCTGGAGATTGATTGGATAGGGTGGATGTTTCAGGTTGGTGAAAAAAAAGTAGAACTTATATATGTATATATTATATATATATACTTTGAACTTTGAACTTTATATGTTATCTCAAAAGTATGCTTTGAACTTATATATGTTATAAGTATACCACTACAGTTAGTGGTATATCAACTTTGATTGGATCAGTTGGAACCACTCATGTTGTGACCGCGGTCCAGGACCGCACGTCGAGGTTCGGTCCGTGTGACATTCTGGAGTCTTCCCGGTAGACGGACCCGGTAGAACTCTGCACCGGGTTCCGGTAGACCAGGTAGACTGTGCCCAGGTGGAAAGCCCAGAGCATCCATGGAAGTGGAATAGTCATAGTTATAACTGGAATAGTTATCCAGATTCCACCCAGACACTCCGGCCACAACCTGTCCCAACCGAGCCTTCAACCACCTCGGAAGGTAGGGTCACACCCTTTGGCACCCACCCCAAACACTGAACCTGAGGATGTGGTTGGAGCTCGAAGAAATCATTTAATTTGGCTGTTCTTTTCTGCCCAGATACCTTTTGGATTTGCGGGGGGCGCTTTTTCAAGACACCCCCGTGGCCGAAAAAGGAAAAGGATCTCAGCTCCCACCAAACACCAGCGATGTGATGAGCGATGTGACTGGTCCATGGACTGGTCGGTCGTGTCTTCTGCGATGGCTTGGCGTGGATGCGATGGCTTGGCCCCGATGACTAGGCCATTGCACCATGGTTCTTCCGCGAAAAACGATCGAATTCGATTACCAATATCCCAGACACTCCATGTGCATATTTACATACATTGGGGGTGGTTGATTGAAAGGGGGTCATGAGTCATGGAATAAATATGCCAGTCCCATGGATCGTCGTATCTGGGGGTGACTAATAAGGTTGGGACCGTTGGGTGATGGTGAACACCCAGTGATTTTCCACTGAAGTGGTCAGATGTGAGTGGCAGCCACACCCACTCGTGGCTTGGGTTGAACTTCGGGAGCAGGTTGGGTCGCGGGTTTGGGCGTTTCATTTTTTGGGCAGGCCGCCACACCAAAAGCAGGGTTCATTACCCAAACACTCCATATATGCCATATATGCCTACATTGATCCCCAAAACCACCCCAATGTAGGCATATATGGCAGTCCCATGGAGTGTTTGGGTTATGACTTCAGTTGGGTGTGTAACGGTGTGTATTTCGGGGAGATCCGATGGTAGACTGGTCAATGGGCCGAGCCTGAACGCCTGGCAAGTCTCTCCAGGTGGTTTGGGGTTCGGGGGGGGTTGTAGACCTACATACAGGAAGTACTTGTACGAATTCGTGGCGAGGAACATTCTCCACTGTCCCTTGATTCATCAGCCAGTTGCCAGCACGTGTGTATTGCAATAGGGGAACCCCCCCCACCAATGGCTTATCCGAACCTTCCAGGGGGTCTAGATCGGGGGTCTCCCTATTTCTGACACACACACACACACCATGTGATTACCCCAAGAATCCGAGTCCGTGCTCTCCATGGCAGGGGTCGGACCCGACACCGCAGCAGGGGTTTGGACCCGAACCAAACCCTGCACAGATTCTGAGGGTATTACATATTACATCATATTGCTACAGTAGCAGTAGCTGTGTGTTTTTCCAGAACTTGGGGGACCTGCGACCTGTGGTGCGAACCGTTTGTTTGGCAGGAACGGCTCCGACGGGTCCAGCGAGGACGACGATCACCGACGTTTTGGTTGAAGGGACAGTTCGGTGATTGGCCGCAACAAAAAGGATTCAACCTCTCAATAGGTTCCGGTGGTTTGATTCCGTTCTGGAAAAAATCAAGGTTCCAATCCAAGTATATACCCAGACGCTCCAAACAGCCCTGGGTCCCTCAAAACGTAGGGATTTGAGACCCCAGACTCCCAGACCCTTCCATATGAGGGTCCGACCCCTCCATATGAGGGCCCATGAGCGTCTGGGCATTAAAGAACAAGTTTTGTATGTCAAAGACTTGGGCATGGAGAGGGATGGACATCCATTCAACAGGTTTGGGGAGTACCATCAAATTGGAGGATGTCGCTGCCAGTGAACTTGGTAGATAAACAGTGGTTTCTATATATCCACTATCATTGACTCACTTGCTACCATTTGCCGCTGTGAGCTAATACCCCACGTCTCTCTTTTGCTAGACTGCATCTCGAAACATCTCAAAAACAGTGCTTGGGCTAAGCCAGTACGAGTGACTTCCAGCACCGCAGACTTTCTGGGTGGTTTATAGAGACCCCTGACCTAGGTATGTCAAAGAAAACAAAGCGAACTAGGTGGTGCTGGTTAGTGCTTGCCGCTGTGCCAGGCGGATTGGTGGGTTGACTTCATCTCAAAAAGAGATGGAATAAGATGTTTTTCCAATATTTTCCCACTGCTCAGAGAGAGGTGAGTTCGCCAGGGTGAAAATTGATTCGCCCAGACTGAAACTGTTGTTTTGTTCGTCCCCAAGTGAGCGGTGAACAGAAGTCAACAACTCCTTTAAAAAAAGCCTGCGTTTCCTGTTTGTTTTTTCTCATGGACAAACAAAAAACAGACTGATGTTCTTTGCTCAATACTAAGCCATACCAAACTAAAGAGTTCAAGCTTATGTCACTCAGAGCTTGGACCCTCCGTTGGTACCCAAGTTGAAAAGAGTATAGGTTATACCTATCCATCCTAGACCATCCATGGGACTGGAAGAGTTACGCACATGTACCCCATTCTCAAAGGACACATCCCTCTAGCTAACGATTTGAATACATCATACAAATCATACATCCCAAACCATCCATGTATGGAATATTCTGGAATAGTATACTAAATTTGATTACATTGTGGTCATGTTCACAGGAGTAAATGCAAAGCACTGGTATCACTGTTCCAGGTCCCATTTGGCCCAGACCGGGACCAGGCCCGTCCTCGCTCCGAGTCTGTTCCACCAGGAGCGCGGCTTCGAGGATGCCAGGCCGGATCCCGAGAGTGTACACATCACCGGATCCTTTTTGAAGAGAGCTAGACTGGGATCCCTAGAGGGTTGGAGCTCGACTGCCGGGGTGGTGCTTTCGGAGAATGATTATGACTGATTCACCTGTACTTCTGGATGCCAACCACCGGTCCTGACTCATTTGTTGCGTTCCAATATAGAAACCAAGCAGCCATCGAACTGGGCCGACTGGGCGGACTGTGAACCAGAGCTCCGAAGAACGGTCAGACTAGAGGACACGAAGGGTCGTTCCGTAACGGTGAGCACAAAGAGGAATGGTCCTTTACTTCAGTTTTTTCTCAACATATCGTCTTTCCCAGACGCGACCCTGGGCCCTCATATGGAGGGGTCGGACCCTCATATGGAAGGTTTTAGGGTATCCAGTGTATCCAGGATCCGTCGCTCCTTCCGTAGCTCCTTCCGTGTAGCGATGGACCTTCAGGACCTGGATCATCCACAGATCCCCTCCAAGCACCCCCCGAAACCAGGGAAGTTGATCGTTCCTTGAAAGCTAGGTCTTTATAAAATGGTCTGCAATGTACCATGACTTCCGGTGGTTTTGTGCAATGTTTGTGTTTCCATTTACTCAGCGCAAGGCGCAAGTTCCGAGGTTGTATTCAACACTCAATACGTCTGGTGGAAACACACCAGTGCTCTTGTTCCTTAGTCCCACAATCTAACGACTACTCAGAAAACATATATGCATACATAATATGGAATAACATCTTAAACAGCTCCAAGAGCCAGGTCCTTTGTTATGTCCACGGGGTTCCCCCCGCTTGGTTTTCTCACACCTCAGACCTCACCAGTTCGGTATCGAGTCTCGTCTTTTCACCATGGGCCTGCCCTGCTGACCACAGGGCTGCACAGCTGCGGGAGAGGGAGGAGTTGCTGCAAGCGAAGGAGAAACAGCTGCGGGAGAGGGAGGAGTTGCTGCAAGCAAAGGAGAAACAGCTACTTAGATCCAAGCTAAGGGGATTTACCCTGCCGTCTCACCATGGAAGATTCCTGCAACATCGGGTCTTGACTATTCTGAAGACAAAAGAGGAGAGCATCATCGTCATGGTTGGCTTTAAGGCTTCCACTTTAAGGTTATTTCTTACATTTCTCCTCGTGCAGGGTATTGTTTATTCAAAAAAACACCTGTATGCCGGGCAGATGAGTTCAGCACAAAAGCCTTTTGCCTGAGGCTTTTGGAACGTGAGCAGACTCTGCAAAGGGAGAAGAAGCTCTTGCACGAACGGGAGCAGTCCTTCATCGCCAAGGAGAGGACATGGACGATACGAGAGCAGCTCTCGACGCACTCGTTGCGCAGCACCCGTCCTCGTCACCGGGGCGTCATGGCACTCGGGAACCGTGGAATAGACTTCTGAGAAGGAACAGAATAGACTACTCCCTAAGAATCCTTGGGCTGTCCATGGCAGGGGTCGGACCCTCCATGGCAGGGGTCCGGGGCCTCAAAAACCCTATCTATTTGTGGGCCCGGATTCTTAGGGCTGTACCAGTACCAGGGTTTGGTCCACCTACCAGGTGTGCTGAATACGTTTTGCAACAAGACGACACTTCTGACGTAGCCATCGGAGGAGATGTTCTGACGTCCTGCTCGCGTCCATCCTCTTTTTTGAACTTGTTAGTCTTCCCTAGGGCTCCAACTACCTCCATTTCAAAGGTGGCTGGGTTGGGTTTGGGGGATCGAACCACCTGCTCGACAGGAAGCCTAGGGCTTTATAGCGTCCAACATGGGAAATCGTGAGCTGCACTCGACGTCGCAGTGGGCTGCACCAGAGGAGCGGCAGCTGCTGGAGCGGGAGCAGACACTGCAGACGGAGAAGAAGCTTCAGATGGAGCGAGACGCTGGGCGCGCAGATGCAGCGACCATGTCAACCCTCTCAGTGGAAACCCTGCTTTCTTGCCTTGTAGGCCTTGTGGGGACGTAGTTTTCCTATAGATGTAGGGAAACTGAGGGAGTCGGAGTCAGGATGAAACACATCAAACTTGTTATATAGATGAACACAATTGAACCTTAGTCTACTATCCACTATCGTTTTGCTCGGTGCTTTTCTCAGCTTGGCACGTTGTATCATCATCTATGAGCGAGGATAATGTTAGTGTAAGTAAATTTGACCAACTCACTGTTCCAACTAATCGTCCTTCCTTGGAAGGTTTTAACATTAGAAGTAGACCCCTTTCTTGGATGACTACATCATGCGTCACTCGTTGGTTGAGGACACACAAGAGATTGACTAGTCGGTCACGCTGTCATTGAAAGCTTGTGGCAAATTGGTACCTGTGAACAAAGACATGCTACTGAAGAGTTGCATTAAAATGATGCAGTTTCCCTAGCGCTCCTGGCCCATATCTTCATGTTCGGTGGTTGGACCCCACCGAACCTGGGGATGTGGGCCAGGTAGGGTTTAAGAGAAGATGGCAAAGGTCAATCTTCAGAAGTTGATTGTGGATCAAAACATGGCAGAACTTCTTCAGCACTCTGAGACCAACGGTCTTGCTTTGTTTGCCTTGCTTCAGAACACGGATGAGAGAGAACCTTGGCAAGAAGGATGATGAAGACTTCACCACTCTTTGAGATTCTGAAGAACTCCCATGTGGATATGACAACCGCCAACTTGTGCGACAAGTTCGCCAGCATGATGCCTTTTGTATACCTGGCAAAATCCTTGGCAGATGAGGCCAATGGCATGGTTGAGAGTGCTGAACTTTTTGCTGCCTATGTCCTAAAGCCATTCATGAAGCACCATGGACATCTTGCAAAGGGCACCTACCCGGCTTATTTCGAGATCATCTGGTTCCGGGTGAACTGGACGTGGATCGATCGCAGGTCACGCAGACGGAAACACGACGAGGAAGAACGGGTTTGGGTCCGGGTGGAGATCGTTCCGTGACTGTTGAGCGCCTGAGACCAAGAAGATCGCTGGAGAACATCCGGACAGGATATCTTGGTGTGGTCTTCAGGTGTTGCTGTTGAGGCCGCTGAACGATGTAAGGTGTGGCCTCACCTTCGAGTCGAGCGAGAGATCTTGAAAGGTATAAAGGTGTGGTTTTGTTTTGGTGATGTCAAACTTGTTCAACAAGTACATTGCATGAAGAAGGAACAACCAAGCAAGGATCAGAAGCCGTTTCCAATCATGTTGGGACCTTTGTACAGTATGTCGAACTTGATCATTGGTGTTTGAAAGCAAATGTGTCCAGATGGCTTTACGACATCTTAAGAAGAGCGTCACCCGGGTTGCCCCGCTTCTCATTGGCTTGGAAGCGGGCCTGCGCCGTGGAGATTCAGACGGTGGGGGCCTGCAAGATATCCTGGGGTTGGAGGATCACCCACCAAACAGGATAGATCAATAGATAGATATGCCTTGGGATCTTGAGTAGACCGCACCATCCACCCAGTATTGGACCATATTGGACCCTTTTCTGGTGTTTTAGCCTTTCCTCAGACAATTTTGAGACACCAATGACAAGACCTGCGTACTGGAGGTTCCTGGAAAGTGGTTTCAGAGTATGTGGATGGCACAACACAATCCCCAAGTTTGGTGGTTTAAAAAAAGACATCCGACAGAAACTCTGACACCACGGTGAATTGAAGCTTCTTTCCCTACAGATCCAGTCCTCCCTTCGTCCGCAGGTCGACCCGACCCGTCGTCTCCCCTGGCACGTCGTCTCATGTCTTCAGTGTTTCCGGTCCGACCGATCGACCGTGGTGGTCGTGGTGGATTCATTGATGGGTTTGATGGCACCATGAACCGAAGAACATATATATGATATATATTATATATAAACATATTGTATATTATATATAACAGATATAATGAAACATGATGACACCCAAATAATACCAAATTTACTTAGACCTGCCTGCTTTTCGGTGTTTTTGGGGCAGGTGTTTCAGGTACGGCCGGGCTTCACTGGTCTTCTTTTAGTACAGAAGTGGGCCTTCTTTCTGGGTGTTTCAAGAAACTCCGCCGATCTGAGGAGCAGTACCTGCAATCCAAAGACCAACAGCTCTTTGAACGCGAGGAAGCTTTGCAGAGCGCCACGAAGCTCCAGCAGCAGCAGGAGAGATGGAGAGATGGAGAGATGGAGAGAGATGAGATTTCAGGGTGATTCAGGGTGATTTCCGGCAAGTCATAAAGCCTTAAAATGGACCATGTACACCAGGTAGTTCAGTTGCCAGTTGCTTTTTTGGGTCACTTTGCAGGACGCGATGATGATATAGAACAAAAAAGGATATTGGCTAATGTATAGGAAAACAAACAGCATAGGGTGAGTCGTTTTGCAATGTGGACTTTGGTCCATCGTTTGCCATCGGCTCTACGGGTCTACCGAGACTCTGGACTGGGACTGGACTGGGTCCGATGTGAAGAACACCGACTGGGTGGTTTTTTACATGGGATGGTGGCCGAAAGGCTGCGGTTTGTGTAGGTTTTTTCACTGCGTACACCACGTTTTGGTCGGTTACAGGTCCCCGTTTTGCTTGGAATCCACCTGGGCTACTTAGCGTTTTTTGGGGGCACCAGGGCTACTGGCGACCAATGAGGAGCGCTCTCTCCGCAGGAGCTCGAGCATTTTCAAACGGAGCGACAGCTGGAACGGGCTCGTGCGAAGTCGCAGGCTGGGCCACCAGGAAGTTGGGAGTCCCAGACCAGACGAACATTGGACATTGGGTTCCTAAATTGTGCAAATGTACCAGGAGTCACATGGAGTTGGGTGGTGTTTGGTCTCATCCAGTGAGTGGATAATTAGCACCCCTATGGATCGCAGCCCTTTGTGACTGCTGGTATGCAACTCTTCCAGTCCCATTCGTTTGGTCTGGCAGTGGTGGGAGAAATGTCGGGAGTGGGTGCTGTGCCCGCGATCGGTGGGACTGGCAGAATCCGACCGATCATCCGATCAGGTCAGGAATGGTTGAACAGCGGGGTCAATGTAGGCATGTATTCCAATCCCATGGATGCTTTGGGATGAAGATCCCCATGTTCAACGTCCCAATGCAGAGTCACAGTTCTTCATGTTCCTTCCTTACTCGTGAACAAAATGGAATGGCAAGAGCAAGCTCCTTTCACCGAAAGCTCCTGGTCTTCTCAATACCCGGGTCTTTCCGAACGAAAAGGACAGATGCTCAAGAATCCCAACTCAAACTGCCCCACCTGGTGTTCAAGATCCTCAAATTCGTGGGGAAACTCCTGGTTTTGCAGATCTTTTGTTGAACATCCCCCTATGACTGAATCCCCTGGGGGACGATTGGTTTACACTGCCCAAAACTAACATGGACCCTGAGAATGGCACCCTGAAAGACTGTTTTCCTATACCAACCAGTGGTGTACTCATGGTCCATGTTAGTCTATAGCGGGGGGTATTGATTCCCGGCTTCAGCAACTCACTGTTTGGCGGAACTTGAGCGCCAAGCTTCCTCGGTGACGACGTCCCGCCGCACCGTGCGTGACGCGGGTTCGTGGCGGGCGGGTCGGGAGACGCGGAGACACGGAGATCCTCCAACCGACTTTCCATCCCTAGGGATCCAACATGATCCAGTCGTATCTTCTCAGGTGATTGGAGACACTTATGTAGGTGGCAGGAGGGTCCAGTCGTACCGAACCTGAGAAGGTATATACTTGGATCCCTAGGGCATGTTTGTCATATATGGGGGTCGTGATCCACCTGGAGCCCGACCACCATGGGTCAACCGGTCGGAATCCAGGTGCCAGTCTCCCCACAGCCGCCTACATTGACCCTTCAAACTACCCCAATGTCGGTAAATATACCACGGAGTGTCTGGGGACAATCATGGTCACGTGAATGGCATGGCCCCTGGAAAGAACGTGTTCCTGAATGGCATTGACAGGAACCTCCTGAACCCGCCACCATGCAAGGGTCATCTACATGTATGTAACAAATAATTTATAACTATTCCCGTCCCTTGGATGGTCTGGAATAGTCAGGCCTTCAAACGTTCATTCATCTAGAGGTTGTAGTTGTTTGGGGTCATCCGAGGGGCGCAACCGGCGCGCCCTGGAGGACTACAACCTCACCGCCCCAGCACCAGCAGCTCCAGCTCCGCCAGCTGCACCACGTGGCCGGAAGACCGAGCCGCGGGGCCCGCGGGGCCCGCGGGGCGCGGTGAAGGATCGCTCGAGCAGATCCCGGGAACGAGAGATGAAACAGAAGGAGAAGGGTGCCGGGACCGGTGGGGGACCGGTGGGGACCGGTGGGGAGCCCAGATCATCCAGACTGGAAGCGTTATGTTACATACTATAATACGTACAGTTGTATATATATATATATATATGTATTGCCCGTTACCCCATGAAAATGACCCATCCGTGATGACTGTACTTTTCCAGTCCCATGGATGGTCTGGGGAGTGTGTCGGAACATTGGGAGACTTTAAATAGGAGAAAGCAATTGCAAGTATACAGTTACCTGGACCCTCCAAGCGGTGCCCTGTCTGGAAGCCTATGGGTAGTGTGGGGTAGTCCATTGGACAGCATGGTCCTGGTATGTGTTAGTTGTACGTCGTTCGGATGAGAGGCGAGGTTGGTGGAATGGGTTGTTAACGATCCCATCTTCAAGTGAGTGGAAGGACGCCATGGAGGCATTTTGACCATGGGCACCTCAGAAAGCCTGATTTGGATCATTCGCAAGGCAACCCTCACGTGGAAGATGGGCCAGGATCATCAGAGGTTTGGAAGGAGGGGTGGAAGACTGCCAGTTCAATTTGGGTGCAAGATTGGGAGGTTGATGCAGGCTTGTCGTGCAATTATATAGAATAGAACTTGCTTCATCTCTTCACATAGAAGTTGTAATTTACTCTATTTTCACCATGAATCCAGTGCGATGTGCAGATGTTCCGGTGAAGGACGCGTTCCATGTTATGGGCTCCATGCCAAGCTTGTACCTTTCAAAAAGCTACATGGCACGAACCCAAAAGCCGACGCTTCTGGGCTGAGAAATGCCCAGAGCATGACGTGAGATATGGAGCACAAGCAAAAGAGTCTGGTCAGTGGCGTTCCCCACAATCATTTACCGCGCGTGTTCACCTCCTGCAATCCTGACAGACTTGCAGACCGAGTGAGATATTGAGAGACGTGACAAAGCAATGAACCCTTCAGCACTCTCCGCAATGCTCCGCACCATTGATGCCAATTTCAATGAAGTTTGTTTGCGTTCTCTCAGGCAGTGGCTTGGTGGCTCGTGAAAAAGAAAAGAGAGAGGAGGCGGCGGATGCAGAGTGTTCAAGCTGTCCAAAAAATCCGCTTCTGCAAAGATGATGTCAGCTGTTCTCAGTCGATAGAAAAAGCGCCCGCATGATCACTGACATCATCATCATCATCATCATCATCATCATCATCATCATCATCATCATCATCATCAT